TACTCTTTGCTTTTATATATTTTTACCCTGCATCTTTAAACTTTACTAAACAGTTGCGATTGTTATTTTTCTAAAATGCTGTTATAGCCTATTGTTGGATTATGAGCTTTTCGTACAGGCAGGATCAGTTACGATTTAGCAGTTATTTAAAAATTTATTTGAAGCTGCGTTTAGCCTGCAATTTGAAGCATATGAAGATATGAATAAACTTTGTGAAATAAAAAGAGATTTAGAAAATGCCTTTCAGTGGACAATATATCACTTTGAAATATGTAAGCGAAATTTATTGAAAACAGCCTGGTGTTTAGAAAAGACCAGGTGTTATCAACTGTAGAACTGTTACTTTTGAAATTACGGACGAATAAGACTATTAACAAAATTTGTACTGTCAAAGCCAAATATGCTGTTAATGCTGAAAGAAGAATGCAGTTTTATGCCTTGTATTCATAAGTTTTGAAAACTAAAGAATTTTGGAACTTTATGGTCCTTGTGTCTTCTAATTTGGCAGGAAAGGCCTTATTCAAAGTTACAATTAAGTGCAGGTATTGACAAAATACTTGTTGTTTTTTCATGCATTAGCTGAACGGCTCAAAAATTCCGAAGTAAGCAAAGTGAATCCAGAAGTTTTTTGAACATTCAGTTTAAATCTCGTTTATCAATATGTACATTCCTCGTGATCTATTTATTTGCATATTTCGATGGACTTTTTGTGCTTCATTATTCTGCCTAATCTACTTAGTCTGGATATATAAAGCAAACAAAAGGAAAAGAATAGGGATCCAGCTGTTCGCTAAACAGATTCCGTCTCCTTTTACTGCTTATTGATTTATTGCACAAGTATGAAATGAAATCTGTTTTGTAGGTTTCAGTGATTGCTGAAACCGTAGAAGAAAGATGTGCTAAAGGTTTCACATGCTTTAAGTTATGAATTAAGTTTGATTTTTATGTGCTCAGAAGAATATATATTCATAAAAGATAGAACCTTTTTTGAGTTACCAATAGCTTTTCCTGTAAAACGTATCTTGGCAGCTTGTATTATTCAGATCTTTCACTGTCGTAACAGAGGTCACTCTTTGAATAAGCTAAAAGCATATCCCTGCCCCTGACCAAATTGAAGGCAGATTTATAAAAAAAAATGATTTAAAACAAATGAAGTGGAGAAAAGAGAGTGAGACACATGAACTTGAACAAGTGGGATTAAAAAGTAGTGTTTGTTTTGGTCTGTTGTTTTTATTTTTTTAGTTAACAACCGTATATTGATGACTACTAAAACACTACCAAAGCACAAACCCTTTATAAATCCCCCTTAATAATCTTCGGGTTACCGTTCTAAAAAAAAAAAAAAA